TTCCCTACAGCCATCATAGTGTGGGAAACGAGCTCCAATACTTGTTCAAGAGTCTGCGCTTCTATGATTGCTTTGTTGAGGTTGATCTCTTCTCTGTGATTTGTGGGGCCCGTCGCACTGGAGAGTTGGAATTGCGAAAGCTTGTGAACTAGCTCCTCCATGGTCTTCTCTTTCTTTTGTTCGAACATTTTGGAAAGCATTTTTTTTTTGGGAGAGCAAATGTACATATGAGACGAGAGAGTGAGAAGAAGAAGAAAGATAGAGAAAACGTTAAATAAGTGACACGTGACGATTTTTGTTACTCATTATAATAGAAGAATAAAATTTATTAACAGAATAAAATTCAAGAGGAACGGATGTTATTTTTTAAAATTCGAGAAGTAAAATGTTAAAAGGAATATAATTCGGTGGGAATTTTGAAAATTAATCCTTTTATTTTTTGGGCGAAAAGTTTTCTATATGATACTACCTTTATAATTCATCTAAAATATTCACCCACAAGTAGACAATCATATAAAAATAAGTTTATCGCTTATGAAAACAGTAGATATGAATCAAAAAATAATTCCAAAATAATTTAAATTACAAGTAAATCAACACTTAGCAATAGCCAAAAAAATGTAACGTTAAAGCATCGTTCACTTCGCGAATTTGAGTTTTCAATTTAAGTTGAGATGTGACATTTTTTGAGATATTTTAATTGTAATAGAAAAAATTAAATATAATATATATATTTAAAAATTTTAATTATAAAAATTTAAAATTTAAAATTTAAATCAATAAAATGAACAAAATTAATTATTTTCTTCATTAATTTTCACTTCCCACGTGCGTAGTCCCACTAGTTCTAAAAGAAGTGGTGTCGCGTTAAACAAATGAAATACGCACTTAAAGTGGACGAATGATTGCCGCTTCCTTTTTCTTTGACTATACATATAAATCTTTAAAATAATTTAACGCCTATATTTAGTATGTTAATTTGAGTTTAAATGTGTATAAATTTTTACACGTGTATGAGTTTAGACAAAAAGTAATGTCCGTTTATTTTGTCAATTTGAGTTTAGAATTTAAGTTTTGTTACAATAAAAAGTTCTCAAAAACAGTCAGATTTAACTTTTTTACTACAATAAAAAGTACTCACATAAAATCACATTTCAACTCAAATTACAAACTCAAATCAATAAAATTAACGGGTCCTAATCTATTTAGTATGAATTTTTACTCTAATAAAATTTAAATTAGTAAAATAAACAGGATTTTATATTATCAAAAGGTTCTCTCCCCGTAAGGGGTAAAATAGTCATTTGAGTGTGAACACAGCTCGCATGGCGCCCTCACTTATCAAGGCAAAAATGGGTACTCCCGCCAAAAACACAGCTTTCAGCTTCATCGCCTTTCCTTTTTGTCTCTGCAAGCCCGACTTCGCCGGCGATGGGTGATCCTCCGGTGCCGGTGAAATCCCTGGCGGCCTTCCTTATACGACGCCATTCCGATCAACTCAGCTCCATCGCTCTCTCCCCGGAGCCCAAGCTCCATTACCCTCTCTTCGTCGAGTAAGCCCCGATTGCAAGAAATTCCTTCCCTCTTTTTCTCAATTTCAAGTTTTCTTCTGATTTATCTCTATCAATTCTCTCTCTATTTTCAGTTTCGCGGAGCTTCTGGAGGACGATCCTCCGCTCGCTCGTCTCGTCTTCTCTCAACCTACCGAGTACTTGCGGTTCTTCGACCAGGCCGCTGTTTGGGCTCACGTAAGTAACGCAGATTAATGGAATCGTGATTAATTATACGCAAAAATTCCAATTTAGTTTTTGATTTACGAAGTAACATTTGATTTTGGTTTATTAAATCGTGGATTTGATGTGTTTGTAGAAAGTCATATTGGGGGATTTGAAAGGTTCTGACAAAGGGATTAAAAAGGAGTTCATTCATGTTCGGATCGATGTCTGTGGTTCTCCCCTTGAATGTGCTGGTAATTTGTGTTTGTTCGATTTTAGTCTGTCGTTTCTGTGTGTATTTGCTGTTGTTGAGCAGCTTCTTGTTGTTGTTATTGTTATTGCTATTGTTGTTGTTGTGGATAGAGACTTTTCCGAGAATTGGTTGCGTGAGAGTGAAGCATCAAGGGCTTCTTCTCACTCTCAAAGGGACGGTTATACGGTCGGGAGCGATCAAAATGTACGAAGGGGAGAGGCTGTACATGTGCCAGAAATGCCAGCACAAGTGAGTCTTGCTTTAAGAGCTTCTTGTGCACACATACACAAAATTCTTGTATGATTTTGGGATGAAAACAAAAGTATCCCATGTATTTTTTTTCGATAATTTGGAATTCCGCACCTGTCTTTTGCCAACCAGGTTAAAAACGTATCGCCTTGCTTTGTATGTTAAAATGGTTGTTTGAGAAGATTGCGAGGACTAAAAGCATACATGCATATGAAACTTGGAAATTTTGGTACTTATGTGATTTATGCCTAGAATAGCGGTTGATGATAGTACTTTCTCTCAAGAGTTTTTGTCTCTTTTGTGGTATGCCGTGGTTAGGACATGTGTGCCTGAATAATGGCATATACTTTTTTTATTCTACTACAATTAGATTCTCTCTTTTTTCTTCATACTTTATCAATATGCATGCAGTAGTACGAAGCAAGTTTCAGATAAAGATTACTGATTTATTGTGTGGGAAACTGGGAATTAGTGGGAGTAATTAGTTTTCGTACTTTGCTACCAATGGTTATTGATTCTTTCTTCTTGTTTAAGAAAAACAGCTCGTGCCTTTCAAAAGATGGTTCAATGCCATCACAATTCATTGCACACATCTGTGATGTGAAAATATTTAAAAGAGTAGCTGATGGAGAATGTTAGTCAAAATATTTTAGAAAAAAAAAGAGTAATGCTAGGGACACCAACTCAAATCCCAACTTTTGTATACCAACTAATGTGACATGTGTGTTGTTATATTTTTATTGGTAGATGCAATATCTTATTATTAATTGCTGTGACAATATTTTAAATACCTACTAATGTAAAAATGACAATCTCACACACATCAGTTGAGACACAAAAGTTGGGATTTGAGCTGGTGTATGTAGCATTACAAAAAAAAAAAAAAAATACAGTGACATATATAACATTACCTTTCTTCTTCACCTTTTAAGAAAGAAACTATTAAAGTACTGGAGGATATATCACTTTCTGGTCGAGTTGTGACTTGAAGTGAGTTTCTTATTGACACTGAACTATATTTGTGCAGCTTCCTAGTTTATCCCGAGTTAGAAACTAGAAACTCCATACAACTACCATCATATTGCCCATCGCAGGTACATATAGTCTACTAAATTTCAGTTCTCTCACAAGTCAAAACACAATTTCATGTCCACCGTTTCAAAAAGTTTGCTTTGTCACAGAGTTGGGCGTCTTCGTAGCTTTAAAACATCAACTTTCACCTGCTGATTTACAATTTTAATTGTGAAATTTAACATTCTCAGACTTTGTATCTTAGTTGCCCTTCACAATTAGCTTAATAACAACAGTTTGGTTTGTTGGAGGTCAATAATCACTGTCAGTTTCAAATCTTTCCAAGCATAAGATAAAAGAAAAAAGGCATCCTAATTTTAAGAATGATATCTTCAATTCAAAGTGCATTTTCTTTGATTGTATTGAATTGGAAAGCTGTTTTGGTTTGTTATTTTTTTTTTGTTTGTTGTTTTTGTTGTTTTCTTTGGAGGACTCCTTCTCTTCTTCCCTTTTGATTGTTTCCAGCATCAATAATATTCTGTTTTTATCTGTGTGTGTGTGTGTGTCTATAGTGTAGTGTTTCAAAGTTCATTTTTGTTTAGACTATATATATCATAATGACGTTTTGTTGTCTTCATGCTGAAAAAGTATGTCTTTTCAAATTTTATTGATTTGTTTGGTCTATCTAATGACAGAGATCTAAACCCTGCGAAGGCACAAAGTTCAGATATTTAGAAGGTTCCATAACATGCCATGATTATCAGGAAATAAAAATCCAAGAAAGTACGCAAGTGTTGGGTGTTGGAGCTATTCCTCGTGCAATCCCTGTCATTCTAAAGGATGATCTTGTCGATATTGTTAAAGCTGGAGGTACCACATTCTCGGACTTTGTAGTTTCAGTTTCTTGGATTTAGATAACTGATTTATCTTCTTTTCTTATAGAAAATTTGATTCCAACTTAAAAATTGTTCTGGATTCACGGTTTGAAGCATAAAAATGGATTATCTGGTCACTAGACACATTTGTGGTTCATAGTTATTTATTCTTTCAGAAAATGGACAATAGAGTATTGTATCTACAAAGTGCTAAATAAATTTAGGCGAAGATCTCATAATTATCCCCTGCGTTCCTTCAAAATTCCACTTTTGCCTCTCTTCTTATAACAATATGACCCATTCAAACTCATAGTAGGACGTGTATTCTCTGCCAAGCAGCAGTCCAAGACTCTTGTGGTACTAATTCCTATGTTAAATTCAACCATATATTGTTGGGCACTCTCTGAAGTTTAACATTTTGAAAAGCATGTGCGGTGCTTCCGCACAGGATACCATTCCAAAATATGTGTTTAATGCCTATTTAATTTACTAGTTGAAAAGCACGTGCTATGCATGTGCGTGTTTAGTTTCTTAAATTCTCTTAAATATGTGAATGAACTTCTTTTAAGTTTATTATTTATTGTCAATTTATTCAAGTTTAAATTTATTGTGAAAAAAGAAGCATTTAAATAGAATAGATTTAAAGAAAAAATTCGTGAGACAAAACTAAGCAGTAAATTATTTAGGAGATGCATTTGAGAAAATATTTTTTGATAGGCGGAGAGGGAAGAATCTATACATAGTGCCATATTTGAGGAAAAATTCTGTCAGCAAGGCAATTAGGAGAGTAGAGATATACTGCACCAAAAATTATTGTAATAGAGATGGAAGGGAGGTAAAAAGGAAAAAAAAAATGACAAAGAATAAAAAAAGAAAAGCAAGGAAACACAAAAAAAATAATAAAAAAGAGAGGAAGGGCCAAAAGGTAAAAAGGAAAAGTAAAAGGAGGGACCAAAAGACAAAAAGAAAAAGCAAAAAAGGACTAAAAAATATAAAGAACCAAAAAGGAAAAGAAAGAAAAAGAAGGGGGGGGGGGGGGGGGGGAGGGGCTCGGATTTTGACCAAAATGCCGTCTTTTGGTCGAAATGTAAAAAGCTATATTGTGTAGATTTATAATTGTATCTATTATCTATTATTTAACAACATATTTTTCATTGTACATATTTATTTATTTAATATGTTTTTATCTTATCTATTATCATATTATGCATGCCAGTTAATAATTGCACGTGCATGTTGGGTGCTTTTTTTTTAAATAATAAAAAATCCTTTATTGATATAAATTCAAAATCAAATACAAGAGGATGAGCATGTTGGGTGCATTAAACTTTAAGTTTTAGATAACTATTTAGTTTCACATGAACTTCATGCGTACTGGTGTACACACGTTCCTTTATCATCTCCGTAAAGTTTTTGAGTTCTTGTATTTGTATTTTCTTTTTAGGAAGATTTTGAGTAGTAGTTTGAATGCAGAAAAATGATTAAACTCTTATGCTAAGATGGGGAGATCTTATAGATGAAAGCAAGTAACCGTCAATCATTTTAGTTTCAAGGTTATTGTAGAGAATGCACAGGGATGAGTGAATGCACGAGGAAGCTCCAAAACAAAGATTACTGGGAAAAGAATGTTCAACATATGCATGATAAGAAAGAATTTGGTGATAAAAATTGTGATGAATATGTATCTCTATGGAGAACAGTGCTAGTCGTATAGACTTCACTGGTTTTATAGACATAGAGAAACATGAACAACAAGAACAAATCAAATGAATTAACTATAAGTAAAATATGTTCGAAAAAAGAGCGTGAATATTGTCCCATACTTTTGATACATTCCCTTTTTTCTACTGTCCCTCATTAGATTCAGCTTCATTATTTATTTCTTTTTGTTTGTAAGAATTGTTAATAGTTACGTATGTTTTCTACTTGTTTATCTTTCCTTTTAATATTTTGCAGATGACATTGTAGTTACTGGGGTTTTAACTGCAAAATGGTCTCCTGACTTAAAAGATGTTCGCTGCGACCTGGATCCTGTGTTAATTGCTAATCATGTGAGGTAAATATAGTAGCTGGCATTGGAACAATGTAAAGCAATGCTAAGTTGTTTCAGACCCTTTTTTTCTGCCTTTAAAAGACTATGGATGTCAAAAGGAGATTTTAAACATGTTACAAGTACTTTACCTTATAGGCCAGTTTGGATGGAAAGAGAAAGAGTAGACTTTGGGTTGTAGTTGTACATAAGAAAAAGATAGCAGATAATTGATTCGTGGGTCAATCGTGTTCCTTATGTTTGAATTGGTTGGGGCTTTAGAACTAGAGTTATTGAGGACTCAGATTTTAGTTAATTTACCAATCTTGACTGGGGAGGTGCTTGAAGATATTTTCTCAGGGAACCAGGGAGCTTTATTCTCTTCTATTGTATTGGTTTTAGTTTCAATCAAGTTTCGTTTTTCCCATCTAAAGAAAAGCTTTCATTTTTGCTTGAATTATTTGACTGAGAAATATGTGTCTATAATGCATCCATATAACACTTTTGCCTATTTTAATAGTGGTATGGTTGTGTGATCCAAATTGTTTTTCGTGTCTATCTTTTTTCTCCTCTTTAGTGGACAGGCGTGAGAATCAGAATTTTGAACCGTATCCCCCATAGAATTAAAGTCTTTGCTTGGTTGGTGGTGCTTCAGAAACTGAACTTGTGACTGGGTTCAGAAAAGAAACCCTCATATGGCACTCCCATTCTTGGTGTGTCCTGTGCAGAGCTAGTGGGGAATCCATGGACCACTTATTGTTGCATTGTCCAGTGGGTAGTTCCGTATGGCAGAAATTAGTTTTGGAAGTTGGTTCTTCTTGGGTTTTACCAGCTCATTTTAGTTCGGTCTTTACGGAAAGTTTGGCTGGTTTGAATTTGAATAGCATGTCTAAAGTTATGTGGAAAAGTATGGTTCTTTCTGTTTCCTGAACTTTGTGGTTGGAAAGAAACGCTAGAATTTTTGAGGAAAAGGAGGCGGATATTATTGATCTTTTTGAGAAAGCAAAGTTCACAGCTTCCTTACGGGCTTCATCTGACAAAGCTTTTAAGGGTTTTCCCTTTTCCTTGGTAGTATTGCATTGGAAGGATGCACTAGGTGGTTAGGTTTTTGGTGTGTTTTTTGTATTTCTTATCTTGTTTCTTGTTTCATCAGGGAGGATACCTTATCCTCTTTCTTTGTAATTGATTTATTTAATCAATGAAGTTTTCTTATAAAACAAAATGAAAGATGAACTTTTGACACATTATTGCATGAACTAATTCGTCTTTAGTGTACGTTCTATGAATTTTCTCTCTAAATCCATGGATATTGTGAGAACCTTTGATTTATATTATCTGCAAGCGAGGCACTACATCAATATGTATAAATGCAGTGTCAGTAAAACATTGCAACCACCTCTTCTACACCACTAGTCCAAAGTATAAATTACTCATTTGAAGTTTCTCGAAACTAGTGTAATACTGTGATTACTATTACATGCAAGTGGCAGGAAAGGGGATAATCTTGTTTGTTATGCCTGAAGTTAAAACCTTTTAATGTGCTTCACAAGATTTTTATCCTCTTGTATTTAGGAGAACTAATGACCTGAAGTCAGACATTAATGTTCCTCATGATGTCCTTATGAAATTCAAGCAATTCTGGTCAGAATTTAAGGATACCCCTTTGAAAGGTAAAAGAGCATCCGCATCATGTTATGTGATATTCTATTCATGCACCGGTATCTGCTGTTTGGTGACCGTTATATCAAAAAGAAAGTTTGATAGTAGCTTTACCTTTCTCATGGAACATTTTATCCAATATACAGCATTTTGTGTATATAATGACGGTACTTTTGGAAATTGCTTAGGGAGAAATGCGATTTTACGAGGTATTTGCCCTCAGGTTTTTGGACTCTTCACTGTAAAGCTTGCAGGTAAATAGTTCTCTGATTTCAAGCTCATGTTATAACCTTAAAATTTGAAATTTCATTAGTGGTTTGATGGTCTTATTTAAAAAAAAAAAATACTTAAATAGGTTTGCCTTTTCTTCTTTCAACTTAGTTGCATTAACACTTATTGGAGGTGTTCAACATGTTGATGTGTCCGGGACTAAGGTACGGGGAGAATCTCATCTACTTTTGGTCGGTGACCCAGGTACTTTGTCTTAACAGACTTAGATGCTACTGCAAAGTCATCTCAAGCTTTCGATGAACATTTACTCTTATATTATGACTTCCTGAAACAAATTGAACACACTTTATCCCACGCTGATTGATAACACGTATGTTAAGAATAATATTGGAATGCACACACCAATCTATATGATTTTGCTTGCTCTGATTCTTTACAGACCCTTTACCTTCTAAATGGAAAAATCTCACTGTTTATAAGCACTAGTAAATGCATTTGTCAGGTACTGGAAAGTCGCAGTTTTTAAAGTTTGCTGCAAAGTTGAGCAACCGTTCTGTTATCACTACGGGCTTAGGAAGCACGAGTGCTGGACTAACTGTCACTGCAGTCAAGGATGGAGGTAAGTTTTAATTCCTCCACCTAAATTCTATTGATAAAAGTTAGGAGTCTAACATAGGTTGTGATAGGTTTTCATCGATTTTCACATATTTTGCAATCACTGCAATCAACACAACCCTTTCTCCCAAGTTTTGGGTCTACCTTTCATTTTCTCTCGTCATCTACTCTCTTGGATCATATCTCAAGCAACATCCTTTTTTTTTTGTTGTACTGTCAATATCTTCCATCATACTGCAATTTTGATTTCTTTTTCCCATTGTTTCATTGATCTAACATGTGTGTAGCAGTAAGAAGGCAGTGTTCTAGAAAGCTTTATTTAGAGAAGGCTCAGTTGCTCACTTAAATCATGTTAGTAAACTGCTTCATAGACCCACCTTGAGATGTGAGTTACGTTGAGGGCACAAATCCCCCTTTCTCTCCTTACTAGAGTACATATAGAAATAGGAATTACTACTCACAACAACAACAACAACAACAACAACAAGAAGCCGTAATCCTAACTTAATTGGGTTCGGCTATATGAATTTCACTTTTCCACGAAGTTTTGTTCGAGATTAGACTTTCTTGAAAGCCTATATCTAGAATGCCTTTCCTAACTGCTTCGGTCCACGTAATTCTTGGTCTACTCCTCCCTCTCCTAGTATTAGGTATAAGAATGTCCTCCCAAGCACGAACTGGTGCTTCTAACGGTCTACATTGGACATGCCCGTACCACCTCAAGCGGCCTTCACGCACTTTATCTTCTATTGGTGCTATACCTACTTTAGTACGAAACTTCATTCCTTATGCGATCCATTCTCGTATAGCCACTCATTCGTCTTAACATACGCATTTTTGCCACTCATCTTAGATATATGTTGTCTCTTAATGGCCAAATATTCACTATCATATAACATAGCTGGGCGGATTGCAGGCCTATAGAACTTTCATTTCAACTTAATAGGCATCTTGCCATCACATAAAACTCTCGTATCATTCTTCCACTTAACCCATCATGCCTTAAATCGTATGTTGAATATCCTCTTCTATATCTCCTTCGTACTGCACTATAGACCCAAGGTACCTAAACTTCCTAGAAGCCCCAATCTCCGCACCATCTAAAAAAATTCCATCACTCTGATTACTTGAGTTACTAAACCTACAATGTATGTATTCAGTTTTCGTCCTACTTAACTTAAATCCCTTCGTCTCGAGAGTCTGTCTCCACAGTTCTAACTTACGGTTAACTCATTCCCTATGTTCATCAATTAAAACTATATCGTCCGCAAAAAGCATACACCAAGAAACTCTGTCTTGGATTTCTCTTATCAGTTCATCCATCACAATGGTGAAAAGATAAGGACTAAGAGCAGATCCTTGATGAACGCCGATCTGAATGGGGAACTCTGTCGTGTAGCTTCTAGCAGTTCTCATACTCGTGGCCACCCCATCGTTCATGCCTTTAATTACCTTGATATACGTCACCTGCACTCCTCTCTTTTCTAGCACCCACCATAAAACTTCCCTCGGTACCCTATCATATGCCTTTTCTAAATCTATAAAGACCATATGTAGGTCCGTCTTGGCTTCTCTGTACCTTTCCATCAGCATCCTAAGAAGAAAAATGGCTTCCGTGGTTGTTTTGCCTGGCATGAAGCAAAATTGGTTACCTGAGATGGTAGTTGTGGCCCTTAATCTCCTTTCAATAACTCTCTCCCAAAGTTTTATAGTATGACTTATTAACTTTATGCCCCTATAATTGTTACAATTCAACACATCTCTTTTATTCTTGAAGATGGGGACAAAAATACTTTTTCTCCATGCATCAGGCATATGCTTCTTCTTTAGTATCTCATTCAAAAGCTTAGTGAGCCACACAATTCTAACATCTCCTAACGCCATCCAAACCCCTATTGGAATATCATCTGGCCCACATGCCTTCCCCTTTTTCATTTTTCTTAGTGCAGTTTTAACTTCCGAGACTCTGATTCCTCTTGTACACATCACATTAGGTTCTCCTTGTGACCTAAGATCGTCAAACTCTATCGCATGATCATCATTATAAAGCTTCTTAAAGTATCTCCGCCACCTTTCCCAAATGTCTTTATCTTTTGTCAGAACTTGATCCGTATCATCCTTAACACATCTCATTTGATTTAGGTCCCGACACTTCCTCTCTCTTATCCTAGTTAGTTTATATATATCATTCTCTCCTTCTCTAGTCCCAAGTTTTCTATATACCTCATCTAAGTAGATCGAGCCTTACCAACTGCTCGTTTAGCTTCTTTCTTCGCTTCTTTGTATTTATTAAAAATTTCAACATCCTTACGCTTTGGTAAATCTCTATATAAATCCTTCTTGGTCCTAATAGCCTTTTGAACTTCCTCACTCCACCACCAGGTTTCTTTCCCTGGGGGGCCTTTGCCTCTAGATTCTCCAAGTACCTCTTTGGCCATTTTTCTAATGCAGCTGGCCATGGCATCCCACATAGTATTTACATCACCTATATATGACTAAGTAGCCTCCTCTAACAACTTCTCTTTAAAGGCTAATTGCTTTATTCCCTTCAAATGCCACCAACGAGTTTGTGGGAGGTGGTTTATCTTAGTTCTTCTGTAGCAAAGCTTAATGCTCATATCTAAGATCACTAACCTATGTTGGGTGGCTAGTACTTCTCCAGGAATTATTTTACAATCCTTACGTAGAGAACGTTCTCTACACCTTGTGAGAAAATAATCTATTTGGCTCAAGTTCCTCCCATTTTTAAAAGTGATCAAGTGAGAATCTATTTTCTTGAAAAATGTGTTTGTTATGATAAAATCATGTCCCAACGCAAATTCAAAAATAGATTTTCCTTCTTCGTTTCGAGCTCCAAAACCACTGTGGATCCTTTCGAAGTTTTCCCTATCCTTACCAACATGCCCGTTGAAATCTCCTCCAATGAAAATGCTATCCTCATTGCTTATACGACACACTAAGTCATCCATGTCTTCCCAGAACTTGACTTTAGTTTCCGCATCCAATCATATTTGTGGAGCGTAAGCACTAATTACATAGATGAACTTGTTTTCTAGTATCAATTTGAGCATAATAATTCTATCCCCTATTCGTTTAGTCTCAACTACGTCATCCTTCACAGTTTTGTCCACTAGAATACCAACTCCATTGCGATTCCTCTCCCAACCTGTATACCATAACTTGTGTCCTAAATTTCCAATCTCCTTTGCTTTCTCTCCTGTCCACTTCGTTTCCTGTAAGCATAAAATGTTAATTCTTCTTCTTACCATAACATCTACTAACTCTATAGATCTACCAGTTAAAGAACCTACATTCCAACTACCTAAACGAATTTTCTTATCATGAGCTAGTTCTGCCCCTTGCACACGTCCAGGAATTACTACTTAATATTATGGAAAACACAATCTTATTGATTTTGTAAATAGGATATATTAGGAAAGTTTGAATTTTATATTTTGTATCCCTAGGATTAGGGTAATCAGTTAGTTTCATGATCTCTCATAAATAATGGGATAAGGTGTAATCTAGGAGATTCTATTTTTTGTGTATAAAAACCTAAGAGGGCTGGCTGTATAGCATTATTCAGAAAATAAGAAATATTTTTTCTTCACCTATTTTCCCTCATGGTATCAGAGCCCTAGGTTAAGGCTTTTTCTCTTAGGCCTTCATTGCCGTTTCTTTCTTGGCTTTCATTGCCAAGCCTCATCACAGGGCCTTCATTGCCCATATCCATTACGGACTGCACGGAATTGTACGACTGTATGGAATTGCGTGGAATTGTGCGGGTTTGTACGGATTTGTACGGGATTGTACGGACACACCGAAAACTGCCCCATTGCTTCTGTTTGCTACTGTCGATTTTTGTTCGGCCTTCATCGCCGGGGTTGTTTCCTTGATCAGCCTTCATCGCTGGGCGAGTCTTCAATGTAGGACTGGCCTTAATTGCCCTCAAAACTGCTTTGGAAGATGTCGGAGGTAGCAGAAACAACCGCTGCAACGTCGCTGGATGAGACAGGCTGCCTATAGGCTGAATGGGAAAAACTACCTTAAGTGGTCACAATTGGTTCGGATAGTGCTGAAAGGAAAAGGAAAAATCAACCATCGTTTAGGGACTGGACCAAAACCGGAGGATCCCAAGTTTGAGGCATGGGATGAGGAGGATTCCATGATTATGGCATGGTTATGGAACTCTATGACCCCAGAAATTAGTGATACCTGTATGTTTTTGGCAACCGCCAAAGATATATGGGATGCAATTCAACAAACACACTCCAAGGCAAGAGATGCGGCTCAAGTTTATGAGGTTAAAGTGAAGACAATGGCGGCGAGACAAGGAGAAAGAACGGTCACTGAATATGGGAATCAAATGAAGGCCCTATGGCAAGAACTCGATCATTATAGGGTGATTAAAACCAAGTGTCCCGAAGCTGCTGCAGTTATCAAGGCCTTTATTGAGCAAGATAGAGTCTATGATTTTCTTGTTGGACTCAACCCGGAGTTTGACTTGGTGAGAATTCAGATTCTTGGAAAGCAAGAGGTCTCATGTTTCAATGAGGTGGTGGCAATCATTCGGGGAGAAGAGAGTAGAAGAGAAATAATGCTTGAACCAAAGAACACTGATGGCTCGGCAATGTTGGCTAGTGGCGGAAGCAACCCAGCCATGACTGCAGAAAAGGCACCGACACCTGAGAATGTCAAGGTTGGTCAGCAGAAGACCCAAAACTGAGACTACAAAGATACATTATGGTGTACTTATTGCAAGAAGGCACGCCATGCCCGTGAGAAGTGTTAGAAGTTGCATGGGAAACCACCAAGCCGCGAGTGGGGGTAGAAAGGAGAGCAGCCGAAGAGTCGTGGACAAGCTCATGTTGCAAGGGAGCAGCAAAGTGAGGGAACACTGCAAGAGATAGGGAGTCTCAGCCAAAGAGGAAATCTTCATGGAAGTTCCACCGGGTTATGGTCACAACTTAGCTGCACACACAGTATGTAGATTAAAGAAGGCCTTGTATGGACTTAAGCAATCACCGCGAGCATGGTTTGTAAGATTTGCAAAGGTAATGACAACTATGGGATATCGGCAAAGTCAAGGAGACCATACACTGTTTGTCAAACACTCATCCTCATGGGGAGTTACAATCCTCTTAGTGTATGCCGACGACATAATAGTGACGGGAGATGATGATGAGGAAAGGCAGCGTCTCAGTCGATGTTTAGCTAAAGAGTTTGAGATTAAGATGCTAGGGAGGCTGAAGTATTTTCTGGGAATCGAGGTGGCTCATTCCAAGCAAGGTATTTTCATCTCACAGTAAAAATATGTTACAGACCTTCTCAAAAAAACCGGGAAGACAGCGTGCAAGCCGGCAAGCACTCCAATAGATCCAAATTTGAAGCTCGGAGAAGCGAAAGAAGATGTTGCAGTGGATAGAGAAATGTATCAACGCTTGGTGGGGAGACTTATCTATCTATCTCATACTAGGCCAGATATAGCATACGCGGTAAGTGTGATTAGTCAATTCATGCATAATCCGAAGGAGGCACATCTACATGCAGCATACCGAGTATTGCATTATCTCAAAGGGACACCAGGCCGAGGTATTTTGTTCAAAAGGAATGAAGGAGTAGTGCTTGAAGCGTATACAGATGCAGACTATGCTGGGTCAGTAGTAGACAGACTGTCAACTTCTGGTTATTGCACTTTTATTGGTGAAAACCTTGTGACGTGGAGGAGTAAGAAACAAAATGTTGTAGCTCGTTCTAGTGCAGAGGCCGAATTCCGAGCGATGGCTCAGGGTGTGTGTGAATTGCTATGGTTGAAGATTATTATAGAAGACGTGAAGATTAAGTGGGATGGCCCAATGAGACTCTACTGTGACAACAAATCTGCAATCAGCATAGCTTACAACCCAGTACAACACGATCGAACAAAGCACATTGAAATCGACAGACACTTCATCAAAGAGAAGCTAGACAGTGGCCTGATTTGTACACCCTATGTATCTACACAGGGTCAACTTGTTGATGTACTCACGAAAGGACTTAGTAGTTTAGTGTTTCAGAATCTTGTGTCCAAGCTGGGAATGGTGAACACCTATTCACCAGCTGGAGGGGGAGTGTGAAAACGCAATCTTATTGATTTTGTAAATAGGATATATTAGGAAAGTTTGAATTTTATATTTTGTATCCCTAGGATTAGGGTAATCAGTTAGTTTCCTGATATCTCATGAATAATGGGATAAGGTGTAATCTAGGAGATTTTATTTTTTGTGTATAAAAACCTAAGAGGGCTGGCTGTATAGCATTATTCAGAAAATAAGAAATATTTTTTCTCTGTATAGCATTATTCAGAAAATAAGAAATATTTTTTCTTCTCCTATTTTCCCCCAAATATTGTTAAATTTTGATCGTATGAGCTTGTACCTATGTTCTCAACAAGCATGCTATAACAAAGGTAATTGAATCTCTCTTGGATAAAAGATTTTGCATTTCTTCACCTGTTATGAAAAAAATGTGTGTTTGGCTTAAGGTTGAATTTCACTTGATATTTTGACTTTATGTGCATCTCTAAAACTTTTTTTTTCTTTTATTTTTTAAATAAATTCACTCCTATTTAATATAATACATTGTATGGAACATAATTTGACAGCTTTTAAAATAATTCTACTTTTTTTTTTTGTTATTTAATGGATTAAACATATTTGTGGAACTTACAGGAGAATGGATGTTGGAAGCCGGCGCCCTTGTTTTAGCAGATGGTGGTCTTTGTTGCATAGATGAATTTGATAGGTATGTGTTGTGGCCCTTTAAATCATTTAATGAAACAGCTCTGGTGGCTTTACATTATTTAAGCATACGTCATCTCGTACGAGTATTTATTTTCAAAATTGAGTATTTCAGCTTAGCATTCACGATCCTCTAAGAAATCTTAAGCACAAAGGACATCCTTCACTCCAAGAATCCTCTACTTGATGATTTCTCTCGAGCCAATGTTCTATTTACCCTCTGGAGAAAACTATCAGCCATCAATTGGACTGATTTCTAAGGGCATCTAAAAGTCACTCTCGACGCTGCCCCTGAGTCCCATTTGTTTTGTCCCTACAATGACTCTGTGCCATAGAGTATCTGTTTCCAGTGGAAATCTCCAGAGCCATTTCGCTAAAAGAGCTTCATTTCTCTTCCTTATGTTGCCAATGCCCAATCCACCCAGTTCCTTTGGTCTACAAACCTGCTCTCAAGCCACCAAGTGAGTCGAATTTTCCTCCGACAAACCCTCCCAAAAGAAGTCCCTCATAAGCTTCCCAATCACCCCTGCCACTTCAACAGGAATTTTGAACACTTACAAATAATAAGTAGGTAGAGAAGCAAGAGCGGACTGAATTAGTGTTAGTCTACCACCTTTTGATAAAAATGCTTACTTCCACCCATCCAATCTCTTCGCCACTCTGTAAATTACCGGTTCCCAAAAGGCTGTTTGCAGGGGGTTTCCGCCAAAAGGTAACCTCTAGAGAAATATAGAGAAGAATTATAAAAATTGTATTTTCAGTAGGTGTACAACATATCCTTAAATACTAATTACAGAGGGAAACTTTTTTAGGAAAGACTAGTAAATATGGAATGTTAATTGCTGTACAAAATCAATCCTAATCACTACTTTCCTAATCTTCTTCAATTAGGCTCTTTGACTTAATCTCCTATGATCAGTCCAATATCTTCCATATTCGGTATAATTGATACCGAATATTCATATATTCAACACTCCCCCTCAAGCTGGCTTGTAGATGTCTTCCATAGCTAGCTTGCTTATTAGGAATTCGAACTGTCTCTTCTGTAGTCCTTTTGTAAGTATATCAGCAGCCTGTTGAATGGTTGGTACATATGAAATGCAGATTAGGCCACTCTCGATTTTTTCTTTGATGAAATGCTTGTCAACTTCAATGTGCTTTGTTTTATCATGTAGAACTGGATTATGAGCTATTGAGTTGGCAGCCTTGTTGTCACAATACACCTTTATAGGGAGTGGAACCGAGATCTTCAAATCCTCAAATAGCCTTTTGATCCATATTACCTCACAAATCCCATATGCTAGGGATCTTAACTCAGCCTCGGCGCTACTTCTTGCTACGACACTTTGTTTTTTACTTCTCCAAGTTACTAGGTTTCCTCCAACAAAAGTGCAGTATCCTGAAGTTGATCGTCTGTCAGTCGTGCTTCCAGCCCAATCCGCATCTGTATAGACTTCAACTTGTAGATTATTACTCTTCTTGAACATCAGTCCTCTACCAGGGGTTCCCTTCAAATACCTCAAAATCCTGTAGGCTGCATCAAAATGCTCTTGTCCTGGTGAGTGCATGAATTGACTCACCATGCTTACAGCGAAAGCTATGTCAGGACGGGTACGTGACAAGTAGATTAATCTACCTACTAATCGCTGAAATTTCTCCCTATCAATTACATCTTCTGGTTTTGCTGGAGTAAGCTTCAATTGGAGTTTCAGTAGTTTTACATCCTAGAAAAACCTGTTTCGCCGAGTAAATCAAGAATATACTTTCTTTGATTTACAACAATTCCTCCTTCTGATCTTGCAAATTCCATGCCAAGAAAGTACTTTAGTGTTCCCAAATCTTTGATCTCGAAGTCTTCTGCCAGTTTCTTCTTTAGTCTGGTCATCCCTTCAAGGTCGTCACCTGTTAAAATTATGTCATCCACATAAACATTTAGAATCACAAGTTTACCCCCTTCAGAGTGTTTGTAGAACATGGTATGATCTGCTTGGCTCTGATGATAGCCATGTTTTTTTACAGCCTTTCCAAAGCATTTAAACCACGCTCTTGGAGACTGTTTAAGACCATATAAGGACTTCTTGAGTCTGCAGACTTTGTCTTGACCAAAACACTTTTCAAATCCAGGAGGTAGACTCATAAACACCTCTTCTTCCAGATCACCATTAAGAAAGGCATTCTTTACGTTTAACTGGTATAACGGCCAGTTGGAATTCACTGCAAGGGACAACAACACACGAATAGAATTAATCTTGGCTACAGGGGCAAACGTTTCTTGGTAATCAATACCATAAGTTTGTGTGAATTCTTTAGCCACAAGTCTCGCCTTATATCTCTCTATACTTCCATCGGTCTTGCATTTCACAGTAAATACCCATTTACAACCAACTGTCTTTTTGCCTCTTGGTAAATCCTCAATCACCCAAGTTCCACTTTTCTTAAGAGCATTTATCTCCTCCATCACTGCTAATTTCCAATTAGGATTATCAAGTGCTTCTTAGATGTTTCTCGGGACAAATAAGTTAGAGATTTTAGATGTATAGGCCTTATGTTTAGGAGAAAGTCTGTCATAGGACAAATAATTGGCTATTGGGTAATTGGTGCAGGAACGTTTCTCTTTTCTAAAGGCTATATGAATATCAAGGTCATAAGGTTTTTGTACAGAAGACTCAATAGGAACGGTCACATTAGTTGGTTCTAAGGGAGTTTTATTAGGAATGGTCACATTGGTTGGTTCTAAAGAAGAAACAGTATCAAGAGTAACTGGAGTATTTGTAGGTTCGGATCTCGGGGCATCAGATTGAGCTTGCACCAAGGGGATAGTAGGCTCTTTACTGTTCTTCCGAGTCTTCCTCCTTGAGTAAACTTGAAGCTCTAAGTTGCTCTTCTTAGGAATAGTTGGTAGTATTTCTCCCCCTGTCGAAGTATCAACAATGCTTTGGCAAAATAGATATAGGAGTATTATTACCAAGGATATTATCTTTATCATTAGGCGTTGTATCAACAATTTTAGGTAAAGGAGTAGAAGAAGGAATAACATCCCAGCAATTTTCTTCTTCACTAGTTTCTCCCCTTGAATAAAATTGTTTTTGAAAGTAAGGTTGATGTTCAAGGAATGAAACATCCATAGTAACAAAAATTTTCCGAGTAATGGGATTGAAACATTTATATCCCCTTTTATTTGGAGCATAGCCTATAAAAACACATTTTTCAGCCCTTGGATCAAGTTTAGACCTCCCTTTACTAGGTAAATGAACATAAGCGGTACATCCAAAAATTTTAAGGGGTAGATCTGACTGAATACGAGTAGATGGAAATTTTTTTTTCAAACTTTCAAGAGGAGTGCTATAGTTTAAAATTCGAGAAGGCATCCTGTTAATTAAATAGGCTGCAGTTAAAACTGCATCACCCCAAAGGTATTTAGGAATATTCATAGAAAACATAATGGCACGAGAAACTTCTAATAAATGTTTATTTTTTCGCTCAGCAATACCATTTTGTTGAGGTGTATCAACACAAGTGGATTGATGATGAATCCCTTTTTCCTTTAAAAAATTTCCAAGGACTTCATTAAAATATTCGGTGCCATTATCAGTATGCAAAATTCCTATTTTAGTTTGAAATTGAGTTTCAACCATTGTATAAAAATCTTTGAACAATTTTTCAACTTCAAATTTTTCACTCATTAAATAGATCCAGCATAAACGAGTGTGATCATCAATAAAAGTTACAAACCATTTTTTACCAGAAAGAGTTTTGATCCTTGAAGAACCCCAAACATCACTGTGAATTGAATAAAATGGTTTTGAGGATTGATAAGGTTTTGAGGAAAAAATAGTCCTTTGACTTTTTGATAAGATGCAATTCTCACAATAAAGTTTGGAATAATCCACACCACGAAATAACATAGGAAATAATGTTTTTAGATAGGGAAAACTAGGATGTCCTAGTCTATAGTGCCAAAGCATTATTTGATCCTTAACAGAGATAGAACTAATACTACTTAAGCTTTGAGCTTTTTTATTCTTGGAGTTTCCATCTTCTAAATGGTAAAGGCCATCTATCACCTTGGCACTGCCAATCATTCTCCCCGAGTTCCTCTCCTAAAACACACAATGAGATTCAAAGAAAGTGAGATGACAATTAGAATCCTTAGACAACTTGCTCACTGATAGAAGGTTACATGCAAGTTTAGGTACATGGAGAACAGATTTAAGTGTTAAGGAACTAGATAATTTTATCAAACCTTTGCCGGCAATGGGAGAAAAGGATCTGACAATTTCGGTGAAGAGAAATTCTTATTAACCCAAGGAAATACAGCCTTAATATTTATACTTGAGTGGCCGGCATCCCAGTCCACTTATTCTAGGAAAATAAAAGGAGAATCCCACAAAGTTAGGAATCTCAACAAACTAGGAAAGTAACTAAATTAGGAATTAGTCAAGTCAATAACTGATCCTATTTATTAGGAAACTAAATAAGAAATCCTAATTTATCAGATTACATAAATAACACTATCCTAATCTATATAACCTAATTGGCTCCTTTCTACACTCCCCCTCAAGCTGGGTTGTATATGTTATACAATCCTAGCTTGAAGTTGAATTCATCGAAACTTCTTCTTGGAAGGGCTTTGGTGAGAACGTCAGCCAGCTGCAATTGTGTAGGGATGTAGCTGAGTTGAACTATTCCATTGTTGATCTTCTCTGAGATGAAGTGCCTGTCAATTTCCACATGCTTGGTCCTGTCGTGGTGTACCGGATTTTTAGCAATGCTGATGGCGGCTTGGCTGTCACTAAGCATTTTAATCTGGTCCTTAAAATCAATTCTCAACTCCCTTAGTAATCTCTGAAGCCACATTCCTTCGCAGATGCCCAAAGCAAGAGCACGATATTCTGACTCTGCACTGCTTCTTGACACCACTGATTGCTTTTTGCTTCTCCATGTAACAAGATTGCCCCAAACAAAGGAGCAGTAACCACTTGTGGATCTCCTTTCAGTTAGTTCTCCAGCCCAGTTGGCATCTGTGTAAACCTCTATTTTACGGCTTTCACACCTTTTGAAGAGTAAACCGTGGCCTGGTGTCATCTTCAGGTATCTAAGAATTCGATTCACAGCCTCTAAATGTTCCTCATTCGGATTGTTCATGTGTTGGCTAACCACGCTCACTGAGAATGCAATGTCTGGTCTCGTGTGTGAGAGATAAATCAACTTGCCCACTAGCCTTTGATACTGTCCTTTATCCACTGGAACAATTTCCTCATCTTTCCTTAACTTTAGGTTGGGGTCCATAGGCGTTTCTGCAGGTTTACACCCAAGCATGCCAGTCTCTGTTAGTAAATCTAAGATGTACTTTCGTTGGGATATAACAATCCCTGCCTTAGACCGAGCAACCTCCATGCCTAGAAAGTATCTGAGAGTACCAAGGTCTTTAATTTCAAACTCAGTAGCAAGTAATCTTTTGAGTT